CCAGTCTTTTCAACTGGGGCAGGTGTTAAAGAAGATTTGAACGCTGATCTATATTTTGATGCTCTTGTCGGTGATGTTGTTATAACATCTTTTATAACAGCAGCAGCATCTACAGCTCCAGATGATCTGAGACTCATTTGGGTAGCATAAGCCAACTGTTCCGTACTAAAATCATTGCGCATTTTAGTTGTTTTTCGACGTTTAGTTCGATCACTAGAATCCTCAAAACTAGTGGATGGTCGGCCGCTTTTATTTGGTTGAGTTGCATCAGTCTGAATGACACGAGTAAACTGAAAATGTATTTAAAAGGTTATTTAAAATTTTTCAAATTTAAATGAAGTTAAATTTAATTATTAATTTAATTTTTTTAAACTTAAATTTAATATATTGTAATTTATTTTATTTTCATTTAAAATTTAATTTAATGTTTTGAACCAAGAAAATGTAAATTATTTAAAATCATATAAGTATTTACTTACCAAAATACTAACTGTGTTATTTAACCAATCATAATTTTTGTTCAAAAAAAATTTAATGACAAAATGTGAATCTGACCACCGAGATTTTATTTTTGATAGTAATTTTTTCAAATCCGCTACTTCATCCTTATGAATCATTAAACTGTCGTCGTCAGAATTTTCATTTGCATACTTTTCAATTATGTTAATCTGAGTGTCTAAATCATTATTTAATTTTCCTTTAAGTAAATCAAAAATTTCTCTTCTCGTGTAAGTCACTGTTAGTGACAGTATATTAGTATATAAGGACACAGGGTATATAGCAGGTTCCTAAACAGCTGGGGTGCTCTTCTATTCTATTGTACGCACACAACCATTTTCGTGCTACAGGACGTTGCGCACTTTTTCAGATAATATCTCTTAAAATTGGTAAAAGTTGGTGGATTTTTTTGTATATTTTGTTTTCTAATGTCATTATCTAATTACTTCAATTGATAGTTCCATGGGATCTCTTGGATAAACAACTTTTTCAATACTTCTTTGAAATTTTCCAGAAAAGATAAGCTTATTTCATGCAATATTTTTAAATACAATAATAGAAATATTAAAGTTCATTAATGTACATTAATATACATACCTTCAGAAGTATTTTCCATTTTGTCTAATTAAAATACGTGCACTTTTGATGAAAATGTTATTCCATTAAGAATACTAACCTGTACACTGTACACTTAAACGGCGCGACTGTCATTCGACAGGGTAACTTTCAACTATTGCATCTATTCTAAATGGGCCCTATGCTTCTTTATGTTTTACTATAGTGTGTAGAAATGTGTTTTCTAGTGGATTCAATAGCTAAAACATTTAAATTAAAAAAATTTTTTTGGGGTTTTGGCCAGGTTTTTTTCAATCTGGCCCACTGTGCATCGTCAAAGTTTGCTTTAAGACGGAGATTCCCGCATACTTCGAATGGAGGAGGGAAATTCTTTCTGTTGCCCCACGCTCGGCCACTACTTCGGGTTGCGAAATGCAAAATCATGTCTCTCCTGAGGTCTGCTTCAGAGACTTGATTGCCAGGACGTACCCTGATTTTAGATTAATATATGCTGACGCTTCCCTTTTTTCTGATTCTGGGCTGGCCTCTGATGCCTTTTATGACGAATAGACTGAGTTCTCGTATGGAATTCCTCTTCAACCATTTACATCCATCTTCGTTGCTGAGGCTCTTTTGCCATTTACAAGGTTATCCTCCATTCCAGGTCTCTGAACCTCCCTCGTACACTTATTATTACTGATTCTCTGGCGGTGATTACTCGTCTCAACAACTGCCTCCTCCGTAAGGACAACCAGTAAATCATATATAGGATCCTGGACCTGATCTATTCCCACCCTTCTGACCTTACTTCTGCTTCTTTCATATATAAGGCTTCTAATGCATTTACCAATAGAGTTTATTTTGAAACAGCTTTGAGTGATTTCAGAAGAAGTGTCTTCGTCCCTGATTACTCTGCGAAGATGGCTCATTCATGACCCTTCTAGGATCGTGTTCTAACGGGTATATGGATACTTATAGATATAGATAGATATAGATACTATATAGATATCGCTTAAGACCAGTAGACCTTGGTTTGAGGGTCTTTCCCTTCCTAGGGCTTGGATCAACGTAGTTACCAGACTCAGAACTGGTCATACTTATACCGCAGATCACTTTGAACGCATCCATTGGAATACCAGGATGTCGTGTGCTTGCGGGGTTGATCGGAGAACTTATAACCATGTGTTGGACGAGTGTCCTTCCTTGGCACCGGTCAGGGATAAATTCTTTGCATTCCTTAGAAGTAAGTTTCCCGATGAGGACCCGAAAGCAGTCTCTCTTAATGAGTTGATCTTTGCTCCCAACGAGGAGACAGTCAGAGAGATTAGTGGATTTATTTGCTATGACCATCAATTCATCTGATTTTCGGATCTGATCCTGTTCTGTCTTTTTGTTTTTTTCTTTTGTTATCTATTTTTTTAAGACTTCTTGTTTTTATTTTTTTGTGACTTTTACTTATTGGTATCATTTTTTTATCCACTTTTATTGTTTTTTGCTCCAAAAGTCGAGTTTATTGCGACCGGACCCAGTGTGTCGCCTTTTCCCAATCAGTGGTGCCTGGCCAGTCTGCAATTCACTCTGGAGTTAGGATTGCGATCGCTTTGCCTATATTTGACCAACCTGTGCGAGAACAGACTTTATACATAATCTTATACTACTAATCTTTGACTTCGTCTATATTATTTTGTTGTTCTGACAGTTGGGCAAGCCTTAAGTCATTTAAGAAGAAGAAGCATTGAACATTACATTAATGCATCAAATAACATTATAATACAAAAAAAACTATTTTTTCATTCCAAATCAATTTTTTTGAAATCGGCTAAGTGAAACGATTTGAAAATCTTCATAAAAATTCTCCCAACACATCCAAAAAATTATAATGAAAAGGAATTTTGACGGAACATTACATTTTTATTTAAACTTCCTTCTGGCGAACTGCGAAACATTGAAATTGTTTATAAAAAATCCTCTAATGCAAAATAGTTCATATAGGGCTCGTTGGATGCGGAATTACGTTAGCTTTCCATTGGTACCTTCAGAATTGCAATAATTTTATTTATTTGTGAAATATTTCATTTTTTATTAACATTAATTAATTTAAAAATTAATATCTCTGAAATAACAAAAAAGGACATCTCAATGTTTTTTGTGCTAAAAATGCACATTTTTAACTTTCAAAAAAAAAATTAAAAAATACCAAACTTAAAAAAAGTTAACAAAATTTTAATTTCCAAAAAAAGGGTTAAATTTAGAATTTTTTGAAAATTTTTTTACATCGTTCGAAAGAGCAGGAAAAAATCTTTCAAAAACATATAAGTCAAATTTTTTTTGATCTCTTTGTTTAAAAGTTATAAGTCTTCAAAAATTCCTTGTTTAAATTTTTTTAAAAAAAGCAACCACCTCCCTTTCCCACAGTTTTTGAAAAAACCTAACAATACTTCGTGGTTAAAGTACTCACCCCTATGTGCAAGTTACAGCCCGATTCGATCAACTATTCTTTTTCACTTGGTACACGAAGAGAAGAATCTAGCTTTTATAGCATGATACGGCATACGTTTAACGCATGAATCTTTTCCATGCTATTATAGTAGATAAATTCTAGTAATATTGCTAAACATGCTTTCCTTTTTTGTTATTTTCGAGATATTAATTATTTAATTAATTAATTTAGTCAAGATGTCATGTTTATCAATCTAATTAAATTTTTATTTTATAACAAACTCAAAAAATGTAAATTTAATTTCAGTATTTAAAATTTTTGACATATATGTTTTCCAAATGTTTTTTTGTGCTTTTTCGTTTGGTGAAAAAACATTTCAAAAAATTCAAAAATTGACCCTTTTTTGACGTTTTTTTTAAGTTTGGTCCTTTTTATTTTTTTATTTATTTTTTTTAAAGTTAAAAATGTGCATTTTTACCTCAAAAAATATTGCTTTTTGTTATTTTCGAGATATTAGTTAATTAATTAATTGATGTTGATAAAAAATATATTATATATTTTATAAACCAATGAAGGTATCGTAATTCTGACGTTACTAAATGAAAGTTGACAAAATTCCGCATCCAACGAGCCCTATATGAAGTACTTTGGGTTCGTGGATTGTTAATAAACAATTAGCTAACATGGCAATTGTTTATAAAAAATTCTCTAATCCTAAATAGTCTATATAGGGCTAGTTGGATGCGGAATTACATCAGCTTTCAATTGCTACCTTTAGGATTGCAATAACTTTATTTATTTGTAAAATATTTCATTTTTTATTAACATTAATTCATTAATTAATATCTCGAAAATAACAAAAAAGAACATCTCAATATTTTTTGTGGTGAAAATACACATTTTTAGCTTTTAAAAAAAATAAATAAAAAAAATAAAAAGGACCGAACTTAAAAAAAAAATTCGAAAAAAAGTTTAATTTTCAAAAAAAGGGTAAAAATTTGAATTTTTTAAAAATTTTGTTGCACCATTTGAAAGAGCAGTAAAAAACCTTTCGAAAACATATAGGACAAGTTTTTTTTCTTTTTTCTGTTTAAAAGTTACAAGTGTTCAAAAATTTACTGTTTAAATTTTTCAAAAAAATTCAACCCCCTCCCTCTCCGACAGTTTTTAAGAAAACCTAACAATACTTCGTGGTTAAATTACGCATCCCTAGGGCTAAACTATGTGCAAGTTAGAGCCCGATCCGATCAACTTTTTTTTTCACTTAGTTCGCTACAGGAATTTTACCCCATAGGGAAAAGCTGCTTTTTCGTAATATTTCAATAATTTCGTTAAATCTTAAATTTTTTTCTTTAATACATACAAGGAAAATGCGATTTCGAGGGCATAGTGTCATAAGTCCAAAATAGGATCCTCACCCAAGGAGGTCTTGTTTTACGTATTTGCCACATAATATACTATTTCTTTACTATATCATTCTATACTAATACAACGATTTTTATTACAGGGCCGGGATTATTGTTTCATTTCCAATATTGATAATCTAGGTGCTACTGTTGACTTAAATATCTTGAATTTCTTTATAAAAAAAGATAAAACTGACAATGTCGAATTCCTTATGGAAGTTACGGACAAAACACGAGCTGACGTAAAGGTAATACAGTCACTGCAATTTTGAATTAAAAGGTTACATATCTTTACTCGTTTAATAAACAAAAAATGTTAATAGTTATGCATATTGTAGCTGTTGCCCCCAAACATAGTCTATTTTATTCAATATACGCATTTTAATATTTTATTTATTACCGATGGTTTGGACAGTGAATCGCCTGGGCTTGGAACCGTCAAGGTTAAGCAACCTTACCTCGGTTCTAGCTATTATTGGCCTGATGTTTTCGCTGTTGTCCAGATATCAACACGGAGAAACCTTTGGGTCGTCTGCTCGCCCAGAGTAGTAACATTTTTGTTTCCCACTATGTCTGACGTTCGTCCTCCCGCTCCGAGCGCGGAACGTTCTCGTTTTTAATGGGCTGACGTCCCAAAAGTTAGGAAGACACTGCATGGGAGAACAGTGTTCCCAGAAACGGGCTTGCGTGACAAAGCTGGGTCTCTCGGACCCAGACAATTTGCTTTTTCATCTACTTGTATGTAAAAAAATATTTTTTCAAAATCGTTATCAAATTGAATAAGCTGATGCCATAACGTACATTTCAAAAAAGAAAGAGAATTTTTTATGTAAAACTCTTTCTAATACATTATTTTATAGCTCTTATGTACGTAGTTGCCTGAGTTGGGTCCCTCGGACCCAGACAACTTTTTTTCATGTATTTCAATTAAAGAAAATATTATTATAAAATTGTTATCCATTAAGAGATGGTAAACATATATTATATCTCTTTAACAATATGTAAGCATTTTTTATGTTCAACTGGGTGTAATACATTATATTGTAATTGTGCTGGTATTCGTGGTATTTTCAGGGTTTGTTTAGATAAAAAAATGAACTTTTACATTACGTCATAAATTATCGAAATTTATTATTTACATTTGTCATAAATTATCGAAATTTATTATTTACATTACGTCATAAATTATCGAAATTTATTATTTACATTACGCCATAAATTATCGAAAGGACCCCGCACCAAATACATGGAAAAAAAATTCTCGGTCAAATTTTTTGTAACTTTGCAATTTTGTAGTTTTTGACCTCCTGAACAAAAAATGTTAATGGCAAAATCCAAAAAAATGGATAGATTTTTTGTAAAATGAGATTAAAGTTGAAAATTCGCAATATGATCCAGATGTATACAGTAACAATGAGTAAAACCCAAACAATTGAATTGACTAGCTTGAAACCGGTTACTCGGGGGTATTTGGGGTCGCTGATTACGAATAATCTGTCAGTTTTTAAAAACACAAAATGGCGGATCCAATATGGAGGACGGTTTTTTTTAAATACAACGAAATCACTTGAAAATGGTTACTCGGAGGTTTATTGGGTCGCTGATAACGAATCCACTGTCAGTTTCTGAAAATATAAAATGGTGGAGCCAATATGGAGGACGAATTTTTAAAAAAACAACGAAATCACTTGAAACTGGTTACTCGGGGGTTTTGAAGGTCGACGATTACGAATTCGCTGTCAGTTTTTAAGAACACAAAATGGCGGATCCAATATGGAGGACGGTTTTTTTTTAATTACAACGAAATCACTTGAAAATGGTTACTCGGAGGTTTATTGGGTCGCTGATAACGAATCCATTGTCAGTTTCTGAAAATATAAAATGGTGGAGCCAATATGGAGGACGAATTTTTAAAAAAACAACGAAATCACTTGAAAATGGTTACTCGGAGGTTTATTGGGTCGCTGATAACGAATCCATTGTCAGTTTCTGAAAATATAAAATGGTGGAGCCAATATGGAGGACGAATTTTTAAAAAAACAACGAAATCACTTGAAACTGGTTACTCGGGGGTTTTGAAGGTCGACGATTACGAATTCGCTGTCAGTTTTTAAGAACACAAAATGGCGGATCCAATATGGAGGACGGTTTTTTTTTAATTACAACGAAATCACTTGAAAATGGTTACTCGGAGGTTTATTGGGTCGCTGATAACGAATCCATTGTCAGTTTCTGAAAATATAAAATGGTGGAGCCAATATGGAGGACGAATTTTTAAAAAAACAACGAAATCACTTGAAAATGGTTACTCGGAGGTTTATTGGGTCGCTGATAACGAATCCATTGTCAGTTTCTGAAAATATAAAATGGTGGAGCCAATATGGAGGACGAATTTTTAAAAAAACAACGAAATCACTTAAAACTGGTTACTCGGGGGTTTTGAAGGTCGACGATTACGAATTCGCTGTCAGTTTTTAAGAACACAAAATGGCGGATCCTATATGGAAGACGGTTTTTTTTAAATACAACGAAATCACTTGAAAATGGTTACTCGGAGGTTTATTGGGTCGCTGATGACGAAACCACTGTCAGTTTCTGAAAATATAAAATGGTGGGGCCAATATGGAGGACGACTTTTGTAAAGAAACAACGAAATCACTTGAAACTGGTTACTCGGGTTTTTTTTGGGTCGACGATTACAAATCCACTGTCAGTTTTTGAAAATATAAAATGGTGGATTTAATATGGAGGACGTTAGAATGAAGAGCAACAAGAACGACACCGAAAAGTTATAACCCTTTTGAAAATCTTCCTTTTAATAATAATTTTTTGTTTTTGCTTAAGGCGCAAGAGTTGTTTATGGTTCAAGGCTTGCTGAAGGCTCAAACCTTATTTGAAGCTTAAAGCATGTTTAAGGCTCAAAGCTTGCTTAAGCCTTAAGGCTTCCTTAAGGCTCAAATCTTACTTGAAGCTCAAAGCATGGATTAAGGTACGCTTAAGGCTCAAGGCTTGCTTAAGGTTAAAGGCTTGTTGCAGGCACACGACTTGCTTATAGCTCCAGGCTTGCTTGCGGCTCAAAGTTTACTTGAAGCTTAAAGCATGTTTAGGGTTCAAGGTATGTTTAAGGCTCAAAGCTTGCTTAAGGCTCAAGACTTGCTTTTGTCTGAAGACTCGCTTAACATTCAGAGCTTGCTTAAGGTTCAAGGTTTGCTTATGGATCAACGCTTGTTCAAAACTCAAAACTTGTTTAAGACTCAAGATTTACATAAGGCTCAAAGCTTACTTGAAGCTCAAAGCTTACTTGAAGCTCAAAGCTTACTTGAAGCTCAAAACATATCTATTGCTCATGGCTTGCTTAATGCTCAAGTCTTATTTAAGGCTCAAGACTCGCTTAAGACTCAAGGCTTGTTTAAGGCTTAAGGCTTAAGGCGTACTTAAGACTCAAAGCTTACTTGAAGCTCAAAGCATTATTATGGCTCAAGGCTTGCTTAAGGCTCGAGACTTACTTAAGGTTCAACGTTTGTTTAAGGCTCAAGAGTTATTTAAAGCTCAAGGCTTACTTAAGGTTCAAATCTTACTTAAAGCTCAAAGCATGTTTATTGCTCACGGCTTGCTTAATGTTCAAGGCTTGTTTATGGCTCAAGACTCGCTTATGGCTCAAGACTTTTTTAAGCCTCAAGTCTTGCTTAAGGCTCAAAGCTTACTTGATGCTCAAAGCATTATTATGGCTCCAGGCTTGCTTAAGGCTCCAGGCTTAGTTAAGGTTCAAGGCTTGTTTAAGGCTCAAGAGTTATTTAAAACTCAAGGCTTACTTAAGGCTCAAATCTTACTTAAAGCTCAAAGCATGTCTATTGCTCACGGCTTGCTTAATGCTCAAGGCTTATTTAAGGCTCAAAGCTTTCTTAAGGCTCAAAGCTCGCTTAAGGCTGCAGGCTTGAAACTTGATTATGACTGAAGGGTTGCTTAAGGCTTTTAGAGCTTTTAGCTTCAAGTAATGCTTGAGCATTTAGCAAACTTTGAGCTTTTAGAAAGGCTTTGGCTTTAGTTAAGCCTTAAGCTTTAATAAATCTTTGGACCCTAAATAAGCATTGAGCTTCAAGCAAGCCTAAAGCTGTCCTTGAGCCTTAAGCAAGCGTTGAGCCTTAAGCAAGCCTTGAACCTTAGACAAGCCTTGAGCCACAAGCAAGCCCTGAGACTTGAGTGTGCCGTGAGCTACATACAAGTCTCGAGCAATAAGCAAGCCGTGAGCCTTTAGCGGGTCTTGAGCCTTTAACATGCTTTGAGCTTCAGTTGAGCTTTCAGACTTAAGGAAGCCATGAGCCTTAAGCCAGCCTTGAGCTTTACAAAAGCCTTGATCTCTACTAGGCATCTAATTTACTTCACTGAAATTCATTACGAACATACTTCTCTTGTTTAAAGGTGTTAAAATGTGGAGCAACAAAAATAACACCCTCTGGTTTACTGAATGCAAGTTTACTATTCGTTAAATGGAAAGATAGATTGACTTCTGTTAATGGAAGGAGGTGGGATCTTATTATTATTGCAAAAAATCCATTCTCTCATTTGTGGTTGTGACAACGTTTTACCGCTTACAATGAATGAATAATGTGAAATAGCTAATGTTAGATGTAAACCATTTCAAAGACCTTCTTTAGTCGTAACAGACTTAACAAGATTTTCTTTACTTGTGATTAATTTGTAACTAATAAATTGATTGAAATGGAAGACAATTCTTGCTATTTTTGACTAATGTCAAAAATATTTTGATTCAAACTGCAAACCATAGTTCTTTAGTAGGTAAAGGTGATGCAAATATCCATGGACTTACTCTTGACTGTAGAATTGAAGCTTTTCACTCTTACATGATTCACGTACAGTAAAGTTCAATGAAGCCTTCCCTTTACATCCACTGTTAGATCATGTCGCACTCATATGTTTCATATGAGTGAGACACGATCTAACAGTCGATGTAAAGGGAAGGCTTTATTGAACTTTACTGTACTAGCGAATGTTAAATCTCGCGAAAACCATTTGGATTTTAAATCGAAGCTTCATCTTACAGCTTTTGTTGGCTGATTTACGATTCATTAACAAGACTTACAGAATTATTATGCGAATGTTTCAACCACTGTTTAAGAGAGTACTCAATGTTGCTATAAATTGAATAAGTTTTGGGGATATTTGCACCTGGTCAGATAATGAAGAACAGTTCGAAGAGTTACATCCAAATAGAAAATAATTAAGTTTA